TTGACTATTAAATGTGAATTTTTCACCTATCGATTTCTTAATACCGAATTTTACGTTCACTGATCTTGTTTATCACGGAATTGATCTTTCAGTATCGTCCGAGCCAATGGAGCTGGCGAAGAGGCGAAGCCCGTTACACAGCCGCGACTATTCACATGTGATGAAGTGTCGAGATCCAGTCACAGTCAATGCGAAACTGTCGAGTAAATTTCCTATTAATTGTAATCGAACATGTCGAGTAAATCTGCAAAATGCGATGCAGAATGTCTACTCATGATGACCCGTTGCTCGTCAGGTTTGCACTCAATCGCGTCAACACGAAAAATCGCTTTTCTCATGCAACGAATTCCACGCGGAATCGATTAATTGACAAGCGACCATATATTGAACATATCGTGGTATTTAAACGATTTTATTATCTATCGTATATAAGTATTTTAATGATATACGAGACAAATTGCTTATAGTTGACAATAAGATTAGCTTAGAAAAAAATCTATTCCGCTGGAAATTATAAAACTTCTATTTACTTATGACGAGTTTACGAATAATCGCTATCAATTCGGTATAACAACAAACATGTACATATAAATTCATTCTTACAAATGGAAAGACCACTCGATTGTATCAAACAGAGAAGGTTTTGGAGACATTGTGAACCGTATCGTTTGCGACACGTCTTCAAAACAATGGTTAACAATCGGTACAATTTCGTTGAATTTATTTAGATATTAAACCCGTACAGAATTATTAGTCTTATGCTTATTCGTGAATAGATGAAAGTGCGATGTTCGATACAAGATCCTTTCTCGCATGACATTGGAAATCGTACTCGGCGAAATGACACCGGTATTAAATAATGCTTTGAAACACGACCGATGATACAAACTGTGGACACGAGAACGATATTGTTCTGACCAACGCTCTGGAGAATACGTTCATGGTTTCTCGCAATGTCGGAAGAAAATGATCATCAATATCGAGACACGACGACGACCGGCAACGCCGAGCATTTATGTGATTCTTAGCAGCACGTGGTATACCTTGTTATTGTTTGAGAATTCGTTTTCTTTTTTTTTATCGTTAGATAAATTGAAGTAATTATTTTATATATACGTAATATTCACGGTAAGAAGAGAGCAATGTTTTAAAAAAAGAAAGAAAAGAAAGAGAAAGAATTAAAAATAAATTGAAAATTTCGATCTAGCGTAGTGAAATTTGATGGACTTATGCTACAGTTCGGTAGGCTATTCGACCAGTCAACAAAGAAAGAGAAAGAGAGAAAGAGAGGAAAATATTTATAAATTATTTATGCTTTAGCTTACATCGTTCAAAAATGCATCTTAGAATCATTATTGTTGTCACATTCCAAAGCATGTATGTTTCTTGAAAGTGAATTATAAAGCCATGTACGAACTGTAGTATTATTGTCCCAAATTATCACACAAAACACACATAAATAATATATATAAATAACTATACAATTATATGTATTAATAATGTTACATATATGCATATAATTGTATATAATTGTTTATGTATATATTAATGAAAAGTATATACATGTAAATGATTATGTACACTCTATAATTATGTAGTTTTAACTATATAATTATATATGTGGTTACAACTATATATATAGTTTTTTTTTTATATAAAAATATATTTTACGAAGATTTTTCGAAGATCACAAAGCTGAAGATCATGAACACTTATAAAGCGCGATAATGAAACGATAAATGAACTAATTATAAGAGAAAAAAGGATAGCACGAGATATAGATTTTATAGCATCTACAATTTCATTAGTTTGTGAATGTATATAGTAGTTCTATGAAAACAATATAATTTTTATCTATTTTTAAGTGTATAATTTTCATTGTCAAAGGGTGCCTTCTTCGTGAAATTTTCAAACGACATATCGTGTATAATAATAAATAAGCGACGGAGAGGCCTGAGGGAAAATCTCACATTGTAAATCACTATTCCCACTAAAAGATTGTTTCAATCCTCTTTATGAAGTCGAATTTTTTACGCAGTAAAGATTTAATGTTATGAATATCTATAATGTATTAATGTTAATAGATATTCATTACAGATATTCATTACTGCGATATCGTATTGCATATATCAATTGCGATTTTATCACGACAGAGCTAACGGAGGAGACTGGAATGAATTATTGTCAAACGGTTTTTCTTACATTACTGTGTACGATCTAATTCATAGTTTGTGATAATAAATATTGTAATTATTATAGTAAGTTCTATGTAGTTTCTTCTTATTCGCGAACACTTTTCGCTCAAAAAATTCTTTATACCCAGCGACGACAAGTAAATAAATAAAATATCTATTTTGCAAAAATAATAGTTTCAGCGTGATATAATTATTTGCAGAAATGTGAGTTTACAAGACAATTTAGATTGAAAAATCGTATATAGCATACTTGCAGTCGATAAGCATCTTGCGGTTTCGTATCTCGATTACCAGATGACACTCGATGTATTAAATTAAACCATGGGACCTATTCTTATATTTATATCGTATTCAAAAATCTATAATATAAATAACACATATACTAATATTTTTTGTATGCAATGTTTTTTAGAAATGAAACCATACCCGCGAGCAAAACATACTAGCACCAGAATATACAAAGAAATATTATATTAAGAATATAAAATATTATACTTTTTGTTTTCAAATTTGCATATATCATACATACAGTTTTATCAATAAATATAAAATATATTTATTGGAGATACAACTTTCTTTTTATTTTTAGGTAGTTGATAAATATTTCATCATCATGATTCGAATGTTGTGATATATTGTTATCATTATTTTATACTTCATCGTATTTTTAGATACAAAAACAATTTCAAGGATTTAAAATATTATGGCGTATATGGCTTTCCATGCAGTCGCTTCGAGAAAATCTTGAATAGCTTCTTCAATCTTCATTAAGTCCTATATGTTGCCATCATTGTTCTATAGTAGTTGGGACATTCGTAAATGACTGGCGTCAGACTGAACACGTTAGAACCATTTAGCTATGCGATGAGGAAATTGCGACGAGAGCACCTCCGGTGCGGAAGGAGTGTACAGTGCGCATGTGGAACATATGCAGTCGTAATATGTAATGAGAATACGTCGGAACACGTATGTTCTCTCGGGAACGTGTTGACATGTCGTATTGGAGGTTTCCTTTCATATGAATCATGCGAGATAGTACAGAGTTTTAATCTTAATATTTCAATGTTAATAAAAATTTCATCATTGAAAGAATATTGCACTTGAGAAAAATAGACTTAAAGAAAAAGATCTCTTGAAATAAAAATTCTATTATTTTGTTAAACAATGTTTCTTTAAATGTAACAAAGAACAGAATTTTATAAAATTGATTTATCTTCTCGCAAATTGCCTTGTAAAACTATTATATCTAACTATTGTATCTTACGCAGAAATGGAAGCTTCTCATTATCTTTTCCAAGATTCTGCTGAAAGGAATATGTAATTGCATCGACACATAATGAATGCATTCTCGTATGTACGAATGAAAACTGAATATACATTTACGAACTAATTAAATAATCATATTTACTACATTTGCAATTTATTTTCTTTTATCAAATTTGTAAATTTGTTCGCTTTTTTGTTTCTATGCTGATAATATGTTGCAATAATCAATTATATTTCATTTGCGTGCAGTTTTAAAAAGAATGCATTGTCGTAAATGTTTAAAGAATTCGTTGAATAAAGATTATCTAACAAATAATACGTCACAGAAACAGAGTAACACTTTGTCATTTTTTGCTGTAATTTTTACTAGATTAATTTGGAATAAAATAATAATAATTTACATTGTTTTTCATAGTTTCTGACATAAAAATTAATCAAAAGAAAGTATACTTTTTACAAAAGTTCTATTTCATTCCTAAAGCTATTCTTCTTTTTCTGCTATAACTATGTCAGTTGCATTGCGGTTGAATTACTCCATTTCCATTTTTGTGAAAAATTTCTAATTATATTGAATTTATGTCTTGCCAACGTCTCATA